GATCCTCCCTTGCTGACGCGAGTTTAACACAAGACAGCGTTACAGACCGCTAATCACTGCGTGTTTCAGCGATGCTAGTCCTATGCTGATAGATTTTATCTCCGCGCTCATTTTTCCCCCTTTGAAGATCCCAGATAATAAGCGTATTCGGTATCTTACGGAGTGCCCACAATGACGGGGCCGATCCATACTTACGGCCCGACATGTCTTCTGGCAAATGATGATCCTGTCCCTTCTTCCTGGCATTCGTTAGACGAGCCACCGAAAGTTCGCCCTCAGTTCTTCTACGTATCCTCATTACCTATTGACGATCCATTGACGGCTTTACCTCCGCCGTCCAGCAACCAAGGGCCAGGTAATGAAAGAGCTCCACCTCAACCATTCTCGGTCAAAGACAATATCGCACTCGAGGAGTCCTGGTTATCTTTGCTACGCACTACAAAGTCTGAATTAGCGGCGAGAAAGCATTCGCGTGCGGACGCTTCATCAATCCGAAATGCGGGAATAGCGGTACCTGGGAAGGAGTTCCTTCTTGACACAAGTTGCAAAAGGCAATCGGGAAGCCATGGAGATAAGAGTTGGACTGGGAGTCATAAAGGTTGTCCGAGTGCTCCTGGCAGCGTTTTAGGCGATGAGGCATGTCGCAGCCCAGAGACAAGCGTCAAGGATCCCGGAGACAAATCTCGTGTTCCCCATTCTTCAGATCGCGGTATGGGTGAAAGCGATAGGTCGGGCATTCTCAGTTATCGCAAAAGAGAGCCATCCCCGAGCGGTAATTTCAAGTCAACTAGACGCAGGACTGCTGGATCCCCGCAGAGTGAAGATGCAGCATCCGAGGGTACAGAAAGTACAAGCTGGCGTGGCTTCCCCTCTCGTGGGGGCAGCATTAGTGGCTCGCCGTTTGCAAGGGCCCCTCTAAGCCAATCTGAAAGCGTATTTGGGCGCTCGCTTGAGTCTACTTCGTCAAAAGATGGAGATCAAGTGCATCGAGCTGGCCACCAGCCCACCACGTCTAGCCATGCCACACAGAAGCCGTCGGGGTTGAGGACGAGCGTATATCAAGAACAAGCTGCAGATGGCTCTCTAGATGGCTCTGACAATTCTAGTGATAATCAGGAAGCTCGTATGAAGATTCCTGTAGGTGTATCGCGACTCCATCTAGTTGAATTACCTAATTTGAAGGTAAGACTTTTGTGTCCAATGTCCCTTTTGTTCGAAACCGAGCGTTAAACTTGATAGATGAAACCTATATACTGGAGTCCTCTACATGATATCTCAAGCGTGCTTCGTGCGACATGGTTCTACAAGAATACCATGCTGCCCGTGGAAACAGAGCTTGCCAATAAACTCGAGGATGGCTACGTATATCTGAAACCCTGGTCGGAGACATGGCAAGATGAGCTCAATAGCTGTGTGGAAAACGGTGCAGACGCCGAAATGAAAATCGTACACAGATTATGGCCGAAAGATGATACGAAGCGTCTCAGTTCAGTCACTCTTACGCGTGATCAAGAAACTTCAAGTCCTATTCCGGGTGGACCTGAGAGACTTGCCACCCCTAATCCGGCTATCGCCTCTCTTGATGAGAGCCGGGCTGCTGGTGGACCAGCTGCACATTCAGAAGCTGTTAAGCAATACATTAATTCTAGTGTGATTTATGTTGATGGCAGAGATGCGCAAATTCTTCGGCCCAGCTTATTGCCGTCAGTATCCAGAGGAAGAAGGCCACTTAGTGCAATTCGTAAAGGACGGCAAATTGGCATACCGGTTGTTCGTGGCTTCAATCGACGGTTATGGGACCAGCTACATCCATCTAAGCCTAATCCTGTTGATGTCAGGAACTACCTCCGGAGCACTCAGTCCCGCACTATGTCCACAGCAAGTGGTGGCAGGCAGATTTGCTATGCTTGTGCCATAGAAGAGATGCGCCCCACACCAACTGATCTAGTACTTGTCATCCATGGCATAGGTCAGAAGCTGTCGGAGCGTATGGAAAGCTTCCATTTCACACATGCTATTAACGCCTTTCGAAGGAATATAAATATGGAATTGAACAGTGAGCCGGTGTGGCCACATGTACGCCAGGGTCATGGAGGTATCATGATCCTACCTGTCAATTGGCGGTCGACTTTGTCTTTAGAGGATGCCAACTTCGACTCCCAGGGCGTTGAGGATCCAATTAGCAACAAGTTCACCCTTCACGATATCACTCCGGAGACGATACCTGCCGTTAGGTCTTTGATAAGTGATGTCATGTTAGATATTCCTTATTACATGTCGCATCATAAGCCAAAGATGATCCAGGCAGTTGTCAAAGAAGCCAACCGCATCTTTCGGCTATGGTGTAAGAACAACCCTGGTTTTCAACAAAATGGCCGCGTGCATTTACTTGCCCATTCCCTCGGAAGTGCAATGGCATTAGATATCCTCAGTCATCAGCCTACCCATGTACCCGATATTGATTTCTCCAAGACTAGCATTCCTGGGGACATATTCGAATTTGACACTAAGGACTTATTCATTTGTGGAAGCCCAGCTGGGTTCTTCTTACTGCTCAACAAAGCGAATCTTTTACCGCGGCGTGGAAGGGAGAAGCCTGGCTGCGAAGGTGATGATCTAGTGCGTGGTGTGGCAGGAGAAGCAGACACATATGGATGTTTGGCTGTGGATAACCTCTACAACATTATGCACACTACTGACCCAGTCGCGTACCGTGTTAATGCCGCCGTCGACAGCGACCTAGCCAACTCACTTAAAGTAACTTCTATCCCCAGCACATCAGCATCATTCTGGAAGTCGTTCGGTAGCGTGTTTCGCTGGAGTTCAGCTCCATCCATAATGGCCGCCGCCAATGTAGCACCATCTCGTCCTGCCGCCATTTCAAAACTTCCCTCCAATGTCGAGCTTGAAACCCATGACTTCACCCGCGAAGAGATCGCGGAAAAACGTATGCTTCTTCTCAATGACAATGGTCAAATAGACTACTACCTTTCCGGCGGTGGCGGACCCTTAAATATCCAATACTTGAATATGCTGAGTGCTCATAGCAGCTACTGGACCCTTTCAGATTTCGTGCGATTCCTTGTCATAGAAATCGCTCGCAAGCAAGGTAAAGACCATACCATTCCTGCGTTTCGGGCTGAGAAGAAGAAGAACTGGAAAGTCCACAAAGGTTGATCAATGTAGATGGTCTTCGTACCAATTTTGTTGCTCCTTTATCTGTTCGCATGTTTATAGCGGTTGAGGTGTTATTTGGTGTGATATCCTGGTCGGACGCGAGGGATAGATATGGATTTCTTTTTTTTTTGTCCTTTTTCTGCTACAATGTTGCTCATCATACCTCCCGGGAGTTATTCGGTTGTTTAGTTATAATCCGCCATAGGCTATGCTAGATACCTTTCGCTTTCATTCAAATTGACATAAGAATACGTACAATCATAGAACAATTACAGGCCCCTCAGTGTATGACTATAAACTTCGTTGATCATTATAGTCCTGATATCATAAGTTAGGGGTGCTGTCCGGTCAGGTTAGTTACATAAAGAAGCATACGGGCATCCCGATAACAGGGACTTATGTATACAGATCGTTAGCATCGTAATATGACGGCCTCAATCTTCTTCCTACGCGTCTCTCCTCCCCATCAGTCAACGCTTAATTTGTATCAGTTTTAGAGATTCAGCCGGGGAGGTGAAGAATGATGACGCATACAGCCGGAAAAGTTGTACCGCAAGGATACGCAGGTGATATCAATTTAAAATCTGGGTTCCAAACGGAGAGGCTCTTGCTTTCTGGAACATGGGCTTTAAAGCCTAGGGCATATCCAATAATACACTGGTTTGGCAAATATATGGAAAACCTACTTTCTAAACTCTAGATAATGCTCTATAAAAGTCCTGCAATGTTAACCCTTTCTTTTCCAAATCTTAAGATATAGAGCTGTTCATATTCTCATCATACGCTTCCATTCCTTGATAAGATCCGGATCCTTCTCTGCATGGAACGAAGACATTGACATCTCCCATTACCTCAACGGTGATGGAGGAAAACTCATCAAAGAATATACCAACCTAGACCCTGAAAGAGCAGAGAAACTTGTCAGAAATATTGTTCATATTTTGTCCATAGCCAAAGACAAGCCAGCATATAAGCCCACCAAGCCTGGACCACCTCAAAATATCCCTGATTCCAACACCATCTATTTTGCAATCCGATCTATCCCGTTCTTCCCTATACAAACAGAACCTATCTCAAATTCGAGCGGGAAACCTCTTCCTAGACCTAGGTTGCGGTCTGGGACAAGACATGCGATGTTCAGTACAAGACGGCGCGCCATCGACGAATCTGATCGGATTGGGCGCGGCAGAATAATTTATCAATCTCGGCTTCGAGTTGTTCAACGACAGATCCAGGCTAGGGTGCACGTTTATAGTTCAAGATTTCTTCGAGGATACCCCGCAACTTGATAACTTGGTTAACCGTGTCATACTGATCAGTTCCGGCTATTTCATGCATTTGTTTGAGTGGGATACACAACTAGGATGAGCTTGGCTTGCCAGAAGGGAGCGATCATCACTGGTATCAATTTCGAAAGCCGTTCGCCTCGGGATTGATATATGGTTCCTCCAGACCTTCCTCCGCAATATTTGCATGATCAGAGGAGTTTGGCTAACTTATGGGGCTTGGCTGCGAGGGAGACCAGGATGAGCTGGAGGTTTCGATATGTTATAGAATACGATTAGTACTGCAACATGCTTGATCCTAACGGGGTGAGGTTGAGGTGGGTGGCCGAACGGTTGTGAAGGAGTTCCATGAGATCGTGCTTTTGGAGTCTAACATTCATTAAGCATTGCTTCAGAGTTCATTTGGACTGAAAAGCGATGATGGAATAAAATTAGAGAGTAAATTTCTTGGAATTAACTCGGGATAGCATGAAACAACCGGTTTCTGGGAGATGGCATCCTGTGAGAGTGGGATAATATGTTGCTACTGGAGAACATTTATTGCGCTGTTACGACCGGTCCCAGCATCAATGCCTCTACCAAGACACCCTTTTCAATCTGTCCACTTCCTGGTCGGAGCACTAAGAGCGCGTTTGCGCTCGCTAGACTTCCTACTCTAGAGCTCCGCTGCCCAACCCCTCCTAAACCTGTGCTAGAGGCGTACAATCGGCCGTCAGAAAGAGACGCCGTCACAATAGCCCGATGGTACTCAGTACGCTTGGGATCCAACGGGAACGCATGTGTCAAGCTGACTGAAACGAGTGGTAATCCAAGTGTTGAAGATAAGCCGGGCGCAGTTTGTTTTTCGCCCATGCCCATTAGCTTGTAAAGAGAGGGGAGTACGAATAGATTTAGTGTCACGAGGGCCGAGGCAGGGTTTCCAGGTAATGAGAAAATAAGCTTAGTCTCCCGCTCTTGCTGGGCTTGTTGAGTTGACGTTGGTTTGAACGGGACCGTGGCGAATGTGGTCGGCTTGCCTGGTTTCATGGACACGCGGCCGAAATGGATGGTCCCGCCTAGTGTACGTTCGATAGTGGGTTTAAGCAGGTCGAGCTCACCCATGGATACGCCGCCAGTGGTGATGATCACATCTACACTAGAACTTGCCCTGCCCACTCCGCGAAGAGCATCCCGAAGGCTCCGTTCCAGCTCACCTGCTGGTGTATCACGAGCAATTCCTAGATCGACAGTGGGGAAGCCCCAAGAGGCAAGGCACGAGAGAAGAGATGGACGGTTAGAGTCTCGAATTTGCCCTCCATGGAGCTTTCTCGGATCGTCGTGCTCAACGAGCTCATCTCCAGTACTTAAAACACCCACACATGGCTTCTTAAAGACTTTAACTGTTTTTGTTCCAGATGCTGCTAGAAGGCCGATCTCGCCTCCGACTGGCGTAATGAGGTCTCCTTTGTGGAGGATTTTCGATCTCAGCGCAATATCACTGCCGGGCTCACGGACATTCTCGTTGGGCTTAATATCACCAGTCAATATCTCTACTGTTGCTTCCTCTTTCCCATCAGGGGTCGAAGAAGCGAGCACTGTATCCTCAACCATTACTACAGCGTTGGAATTTGGTGGAAGAGGAGCCCCTGTGGTTATTCTGGCGATAGTTCCGGGCTCCAAGGGGGACAATGACCCTCCTGGGTTGGCGTAAGAAATAGACGCCACGGGGAATACCCCCTTTGTGCTTGGTCCAACATCTGCTGCTTCAGGTGCAATCACGGCGTACCCATCTACTGTGCTAGCTCGGTACGCTGGAACAGCTTCTGCAGCATAGACATCCTCGGCAATGACAGATCCGACTAAGGCAGTGGTTACAGGAACTTCAATCATCACTGGATCAGGGGTTTGTTGGCTAATCACTCCAAGTGCTTCGTCCACTGATAGCATTGGGTACGGGGATTCGCGATATCGTCGATTCGGGCCTGCACTGGGATCATTTGATTGTGGTCTCTCAGATGGTGACGTATGCGCCTTGGGGGCAACATGGCCATGTCCGTGACCATGAGGATGAGAATGATGATGTTGGTGATGATGGTGATGGTCGCGATTCGGCTCCACTCTGCTTCCCGAGGATAACCCTGCTTCAGCTTCTAGTTTCTTGACACCGCCGGCATGGATGGCTCGAGAGTTAGCACCAGCCGCTTGAGTGCATGCATGTGGCAGAAGCTTGAAGACCGCGTCGAGGTTCTCTTTAGCCCCTTTTGGCGACCCAGGCAAGGTAATAACCAATGTTTTGTCCCTAACACCCGCGACAGGCCGAGACATCATTGCAACTAGAATGATTGTTAGTGAGCCCTCAAGTAACATGTGTACATCAGCTTACAAGGTGTAACTTGCAGAGAAGCGGCAATCATGCCGTGACTTAATGTTTTGCGGTCAGTAATCACATTATATTTAGGTCTGAAGATATATAACGCAACTCACACTAGGCCAGGTGCATGGCGATGAATCAGAGGCGAGACAGCCTACTCAACGACTTTAGCAAAGCAGAGTAACTCTGGAGCAGGTTCAACGAACCTCAGGAGTGTTATCCTTAACCGCAAAGCCCGTACCGCCACTCAAAAGGATGAGATTTACCCAATTTGGGCCATCTGTCCAGTCACAAATGGCTCGTTGGATATCGAGTACATTATCAGGTACGATCTTAGTGGCCGGTCGATCCCAAGTATTTGACCCCTCCGTGGAGAAGAAAGACGTAAGAGTGTCAGCAACTCTGTCCGTGGAAGGATCTTTAGAGGCAGTGTCCGATACGATCAATATCGCTGCCTTGAGTTTGATGTCTGTCATTCTGAGTGCTATCTTGTTAGAATTTGCAGAATTATTGAGAAGAGAGTTTTGTCGGATGCGGGGAAACCACCTGGTAATCAGACCCTCCAAAAATATACTAGTAGCACTCCGTAGGATATTTGCTATCGCTCAAGCTTATCAGTGTCAACAATACAACGATCGCCAAATTTCTATAAACTCTTAATAGAACATCGTGAAATTTAAATCAATGCTATACATAAGAGTGCGCTCCCGTATTGAGAATATCGGCACTTCTATTACTTCCCACACCTACTACTGTACATCAACCCAGACATCATGGCAAACCAGCGGGACAATCAATGCTATTCACGCATACCCAAAAGACTCTACAGTCAGATCGGATCCGTACGCCATAATGCAGTATATAATAGAACACCAGAACAAAGTAAAGCTGTAACATAGAAGTCATACAATGGTTCCAACCCCGAATCGCATGATTCTCTCTCGGAGAAACCTCCCCTCATCAACCGCCAGGCAACCTTACTTGAATTCGTTAGCCTTCTGTGTCACCAGAAGCCCGATAATAAGGCCGAATAAGCCAAGGACGGAGCTGAAGATCTCGATAACAAGGATCTTCACAAATCTGCAAAGATGTTAGTTCTCTTGCTGTTCCGAGAGAATTACGGATGGGGCGAACGAACAGGCTTCCATCAGCAGCATCTGCTAGAGCTGCACTGCTTCCATTGATACCGACAGAGATACCACAGATCAAATTGCACATGCCCACAGTGATGCCACCCCAAAAGAGTGCGTATCCAGTATATTGGTTGCTGCCGGAGAAGATTTCGTCATCGCCGACGAGGTTGAGCTTCGAAGAGAAAACGATTGCCATGATGACACCATAGATAGCTACTACTTCGCAGAAGATAATGGAGATCAAGTTCTTCGTCCGAATTCTTGGTGCCTTGACACCTCCGCCGACAATCGATGAACCTGTAAGGAAGATACCCCTGGATAATCATGCCATGAGTGATGATATAATAGAAAACATAGTTCCAGATTAGGACGTACCATGCTGCTCCAACAACTGATAAACCTATGCACATCGCGATACCAATGTTTGCCCAAGCATATGGAGATACCGATTCGAGAAATTGACCAACCTAGGACGTGTTAACAAGGTACCCTACAGAACATATGTAACATCCAAGTATCTTTGAATACATTAAATTGTTCGCCATCTCCGTGAAAAAGCATATCTACAAGTATTGATTAGCGCACTATATCATTATCCCAGTCGGATGAGTTCACTCACATCCCCCGATCACCAGGAGTGACACGGTAGCAGCACCAGCTGGATAGACGAGACCCATGGTGACCTCCAACTTTCGACACGATTTTTTAAGCTGGAGGAAACAGCGAAGAAGCTACAGGGCCTTGAGACACCTGACGAAAGACTCGCAAACGATAGAAAGATTGCGGTGGAGCGGAGCTCTTGTCCGGATCACTCGTCTGGAGCAACACCCGCAGCTTGCGCTGATGATGGGTTGGTCGGGCCGGATTTAATCCGTCATCGGGAGGCGGTCGGAGTTTAATGCTGGCTTGTCAGTCCATAACATCTACTTACCGTACAGTTTCCCCATATTGATCCATGGGTTTGAGTTGACTTCACTCCTCCCCAGTCGCCCATTTGAACAACTCTGGCGCCTTGCTTGGTCTTGCTTCTGATCCCCGATAATATCCCCCTTTTCATGTCCTTCTATCCTTAAGATACCCTTGGGCACCCTTTCCACAGGTCTTCTACGTAAAAATTATTTGCGACTTTCCCTCCGCTACCCCTGATCCTACCATTACTTCTTACAAGTTCTCTTGTCACAATGGCATCCACTTCCGCTGTAGGGTCGTATTCGAACCCTTTGAAAAAGTTCAAGTATGTCCTTGTATACCAAAGCTTCCTGTAGTCTGAATTAATTGTTGACTGTTCCACAGGCTGGTGTTCTTGGGAGAGCAGAGCGGTATGTATACCACATGCCAGTTTTCCATTAGTTTATGGTCTGTCCAAGTCTCTGACTTTGACATGTAGTTGGCAAGACGTCCCTGATTACGAGATTTATGTACGACTCATTCGATAATACATATCAAGCGACCATCGGAATCGACTTTCTGTCAAAGGTATATCTCACCGCAATTAGCCAGCCTCTCGATTCTAGAACCCCACCTTCGACACTTTTTTCGCTCATGCCAGTGTTAACTCGTTTTTTTCAGACTATGTACCTAGAGGATAGAACTGTTCGACTCCAACTTTGGGATACAGCCGGTCAAGAACGATTCCGGTCGTTAATTCCTTCCTACATCCGGGATTCAAGTGTTGCTGTTGTTGTTTACGATATTTCAAACGCCAAGTCCTTCCAGAACACCCGCAAGTGGATAGACGACGTACGAGGGGAGCGTGGCAATGACGTTATTATTGTTCTAGTTGGAAACAAAACTGATCTTAACGACAAGCGTGAGGTCACAACCGCGCAGGGTGAAGAGGAGGCTAAGAAGAACGGGTTGATGTTCATCGAGACTAGCGCCAAAGTTGGTCATAATGTCAAGCAACTTTTCCGGCGGATAGCCCAAGCTCTACCAGGCATGGAAGGCGAAGGTAGCAGAGGAGAAAGCCAAGGTTTGTTTCCTCGGTGTCACTTTTAAATTCCTCAGAGCTGACTGCTACCCTCTAGTGATCGATGTGAACATCACCCCAAAAGAGACCACAACCAACGATGGATGCGCTTGCTGAATGCTGTAATGTACTACCTGGTCACCATTTTCGATTACATTCACCAATTTGTTTCCTCGATCTCATTGATGAGGTTTGAGATTGTCAATATTGCTGCCATTCTTAATCTGTACATTTTTCTCCCTTTGCTTTTCAAGTGAATAGCGTGTTTAGATCGAAGCCGTTTTTTCTTTTCTCTTTCTTTCCTGTTTTCCTACACGGTCGCGTGGTGCTTGGTGGGAGAATTTGGCGTTCTACTTGCTACATCGCATCAACATCCCATTGCTTGCCCCTCAGATTCATGCGATATCCTTTTTATCTTTAACGGCCCAGATTTGAGTTTGTGGTTCTAAGATGTCATGGCTCTTGTAAGATTTTGGACAACGTCTACTATACATATATATTGTACTATTCACCATACTATTCGCAACTGCATAGCATCCAGAAATGTCAGCCAACAGAATTAGGAGCAAACGAAAAATGAAAACGAAAAGAAACAGGTCAAGGCAGACATTCGCATATCTTCATATTACGACGGAGTAAACAACCCAGAGTTGGTCATTAGCGCTAGCATCGGGAATGTCGTACTCGTATTGTCTGATGCAAGATTGCTGACTGCCTAGGCGAGCAGAGCTACATCCACGAGAGAACACTTTGGAAATTCAGCAGGGAATAGCATGGAAAGGAATAATTGAATTCCAACTGATCATTCAGATTGACCTTGAAACAATAACTGGAAGTACATGCAGCCATCCTCCCTTAACCAGGTCATTGAAAACTTGCGCAGTAAACAGTTCATTGGACGTAAATTCATGTTACGGAGGTTACGGAGTACCTACCCGAACGTCATTAAAAGGCCGCTCATTTCTTGGCGTTTAATAGTCAAAGATAGTAATGATCGGCGGGGCGGATCGTCCGGAAAATCAAGCCCCTGTGTGACAATACCGCATGGGCATCGTGACCCAACTGTTGCTGACTTCCAGCCTCCTCACTTTCTTCTCTTCTGTGGCTTCCATTCGTTTTCCCTTTTCTACTGCATCCTCTCATCGCTTGTACCACTCACACCGCAACCCATCGGCGATATCAAAGATGGGGTTTTCACCAACCCGTTTTCTCCGCATCCCGCGGCCAGAGGTATGTCAGAAATTAAAATTTCGTGATAAAAGGCCTTCCCGTTCCGTGTCTAGACTTCGATGGTGCTAAGAATGAACCCTCGGAGTACAACAGACATTCCTCTATGTCATGAGTCTGCGGACGGGCGCTTCTCTCATCACGCTGTCCTTACTTTTGAACAAGATTAGCGGCCTTTACGGGTTGCTTGCGCTCCTAACCGGCTACCACCTTTCCCCCGTCCAGCTGTCCATGTACCTTTACTCCCTGCTTGCTCTCGGCGTCGCAACACTGCTCTTCCCACATATCAGGAAACAATCACCTCTGCAATGCCTCGCTCTCGCCTGGCTCTACCTCTTCGATAGCGTCATCAACGCCGCATATACCGCTGCTTTTGGTGTAACATGGTTCCTTGTCATCTCTCAACATTATGAGAGTGGAAACACCTCCGGACCTGGTAGTGAGACGATTGCACAGACTGCCGGATTCACCAGCCCGCAGTACGATCCATCTTCTGCCCAGAACGCCCAGTATGCCAGAAGTTCCGATGGCCTAGGCAACGCGGTTACCCAACCGGAAAGTTTCCAAAGCATTGTCTTCATCTGCTCGCTATGGATCATCCGCGCATACTTTGTTTTTGTCATGCTAGCATTTGCTCGCCAGTCCCTGCGTCTTTATATTGCTGTGCCTCGTCACACTCAGCTCCCGACTCATAGCCGGAACACTTCCATCGCTAGTGTGGCCAGCGTCGCCGATATCGATAAGGAGCCGTTCTCGCCGTTTACTCCTGATGGTCAAGGCTGGAAGGGAAAGCTTGGTCGTGCTATGATTAGCGTTGGTCGCAATTATTGGTTAGGCGAGGATGAGGATGGTGACTGGATGAATACAATCGGGCGGCGGTTCCGTGCCCGCGGCGAGAGCACCGAGCTTCCTGGACCCCTCGAAAGAGAACGGAGACGTCGGTCTGGAACTGGTCCTCCGCAACCTTCTCAGTCGGCTGTCCAGGCGGCTGCCTTACAACAACCCATTTATGAGGTACCGGGTATGAACGTCAAAATGCAGGACTGGAGCGAAAACAGATAAACAAAAGCAATCGGAAGTTGTCGATCCGCTACAGGTCATCCATTCAAGTTCATATCAACCCTTACAGAGGGAATTGCGTCCAAATCCATACAACGTGGGTGCCCTTGGCAGAGGAGACGGCTCCTCGTCGTACTGTGGACGCCTAACTCATAGCGACGAGGCTCTGGTATTAACAGCCTCACCTCTTACCCAATGCACATTACGTGGTTTTCGTTATAAAGTTATATCACTTAAATGGTGAGATGATCTACAATCGCTGGTCACACGTCATACGGCCGCAGGAGTCTGAGGACTAGACAACGCTCAGGGCTCTTTTTCTCTCCCTTCCGGAGCGGATCATAGAGACAGAGTTGGCTTTTTCTTTGCGAAAAGGTATATTCGGCCAATCGAAGTCGTTCTTATGGCAGAGAACGGTGTTTTTGTTCGGCTGTAAGGACGGAAAGGTTGGTTTTTTTTAGATATGGTCCCCGGCGTCTGGGACTTGTACATTGATATCGATATAGGGGTTTGGTTTCATCTTTGGTGTCTTGAGGATCAGTTTTCATACACTATATCAGGGAATCGCATAATGTTCTATCATGAATGACCAAAAGACCACATGTTTGTCACCAAAGGGTGCATAGTCCTCAATTGTATGACATATTTTGTAACTTTTTCTCCTTTCTTTTGTTCTTTTATCCTTTTAAAGAGCCTGTCCCCTTACTCCTTATCCGCTGGGGAAACTAAAGAGAGGGAGGGGGCGGAAGCTGGTTCTTCAACAATTGTTCTCGATTCCCCATGTAATGGGCCACTAACCACACCGGGAGTCTCTCGCCCGAGAGCAGATTACCTTTGTAATAAGTATAGCAAGCCGAATGATCAAATACCGATTGGTCCCCTGCTAAGGGAAAATAGAGAACAATTATGGAAAAATTCTCGATTATCTGTGTTGTGCTGTTCTTACGGGGCAATCTTCCTTCAATTATGCTAACTACATTAATTATGAATTTATATTTGTGGCCGATGAGCGGATGTCTTCCACGTTCGGCTGCAACACGAGATCTCCATCAAGATCAATCATAGAGAGTAGAAGTAACCGACCTATCAGCATTCTGCCGAAGCAAAGCCCGCTGAAGAACTGACGTGCTCGACCTGCTGCCCGCACTTGACCCGATTAAGGATGTTTGCACCCACCGCCTGCGCACGTTTGCATCGATGTCGTGATCGCAGTCCAATGAGAATGTTGCTGATCCAACCCCGATGGCGGAGAAAGTCTATGGGGAACAAAATCGCTGCTTTAATTTTGAAGGGAATCTTAATGATAAACGGGAAAGAGTCAAGCTAATTTTTAAATGTCTTTAAGACCGTCGCTTTTTCTTCCTTTCTCACTCCTTCCCCCTCATCGATTGAGCTCAAATTGAGTGTGGAGTCACCGTATGCGGTGATATCTACTCTGTATACTATTAGTATCATCCCACCTTTGCGCTCTACACAGCGCAACTGGCAAGTGCCAATATGGCGCCCGTTTCAACTGCCGGAGAGGCAGGTGAGTCATTTTCTTTCATTCTTTCTCAAATCCCCAGTCCGTTGATCGCAGATACGACTATATTTTGCTGTCATTGTCTGTCTACGAGCTGGTGATGGAATACTAATTTACTCCTCAGTGGCGAGAGTCGCCTATCTCACTAGCGACGTTGTGGTCTCCGTCCAGCCATCCCTGCAGACAGATTCTTGGTTTAGCAAGTCACTAAAGGCTCTCAAGCAAGAAAGGGCGCGCAGTGTCCTGCCTAAGGGCGTACCTGACGTGAGTGATACTGGATTACAGCTTGTTTAAACTTGGATTGTGGGTTAACAGCTTCATCAGGTGATCTCAGTACGATACAATGAGGATCCTCTCCTCTCTGCTTTCCACCCTTTGCAGACTGGAGATGCAGTTTCTGTTGTCTCTAGCTCCTCTGTCCTCCTCTCTTCTATCCCTCACCTCTACCGCTTGGCGAACTTCCCCATTGTCATTCACGTCGCCTTGGAGCCTTCTCCATTCCCAGATTACTCGGTGATCAGCTCAATACGGCAATGTGGCTTCACATTCCTGCACTCTGAGACCGTTCAAGAGGCACAAGATATCTCTATCACTGCTCATGCTTTGGCACGCAAGTCTGGAAAGGGTGTCATTCACTTCTTTGACCCTACCAATTCTGCTCGCGACGAGCCCATCGCAGAGGAGGATGTGAATGTGGTCCAGAGTGTTCTGAACTTGGGAGGACATCATGCTACTCACTCCACCGGGCTCGGTGCCCAAACATTGTACACTGATTCTGGACGTGTGGCCACCGTAGCCGATGAAGTTGTGGAGAACGCTAAGACCCCCTCGGGTGCTGCTACCCCTGCACAGCCATCTCAGACACCTTCGAGTGTCAGTGTTGACAACTCGTCCGTTGGCTCCTCAAGAAGAGATAGCAGCGTTGATAGCCGCGCTACTAGTTCCGCTGCAACAACTGTGGATGCTTCTTCTATTAGGCCAGTTAGTGCCGCAGACATCTTTGAATGGACTTCTCAGATCTGGCGCACTTTGTCGGGATTGGTGGGTCGTAACTACAGGGCGGTCGAGTACACTGGTCCTTCGGATGCCAAGTCCGCTCTCTTTATCTTTGGCTCCACCGGAGTGTTTGTAGATGCTCTGTCCAAGGAAGACACTGCCAGCGAGCTGAAGAACATTGGACTTATCACTGCGCGGTTGTACCGACCTGGGTGGGCAGTCAGATTGTGAACTCTATTCCAGCCTCGGTTGAAAAGATCGCCGTTCTGGAACAAGTTCGCAAGACTACAAGATGGGGTCCTTCGTTCATGGATCTGTTGTCAAGCTTGACCCCTACCACTGCTGGTGGACGTGCTCCACAAATTGTCGGTTACAGACTCGGGTACGTTGAGCCATCCACTGCCATTCAGGCACTCCGCGGCATTGTCCAGAATTTGGACATCACCTCTCCTATCCAAAACCTTGAAGTCGGTAGCTCCAAAGTTCCAACACTTGAGACTGCCTTGGAGCAGCCCCATGTCGAAAATGCCTATCTGAAGATCTTAAACCAGCTTTTCGGGGAGCGTTTGCACATCGCCAACCAGTTAAATTCGAAGCATGCCGGTGTCTCCTCAACCATTGCCGCCACTCCTGAATATGGATTTGGTTCCTTGATTGCCAGGATGGAACACCGCCGGCGGTTTGTGCGGGAGGTTGAAGAAGCATCGAAGGCTGGTAGCTTTGCCACTGATGCGCCGAAGACATCCCTCTCAAATTGGGCTCTTAACGCCGGAGATGCATCCAAGGCCAACAGACTGGCTCCAGATGTTATTGATCACCTTTCAAAGGATGATTCTCAGTTGGCCAAGCAGCTCCTAGAGTCCAAGAAGCTTTTCTATGATGAGTCTCGATGGCTCGTTGGCTCCGATGCCTGGGCCTATGATCTTGGCAACTCAGGTGTCCACCATGTCCTTGCCTCCGGTGCCAATGTTAACATGCTCGTTATCGATTCCCAGCCGTACTCTGAACGCACCGCTGCTGATCCGACACGCAGAAAGAAGGATATTGGTCTTTATGCCATGAACTACGGTAATGCCTACGTTGCCTCCGTTGCCGTGTACGGCTCCTACACTCAGGTTCTCCAAGCTATGGCTGAGGCCGAACAGTTCAAGGGCCCATCCGTGGTTGTTGCATACCTGCCTTACAACCAGGAGGACGACTCCGCCTTGACTGTTCTCCAGGAGACCAAGAAGGCCATCGATCTTGGATACTGGCCTTTGTACCGTTGGAACCCCGGAAATGAAGAGAACCACGAGCCCAAGTTCTCTCTGGATTCGGAACGTCTCAAGCGTGAACTTGAAGAGTTCCTTCGTAGGGACAACCAACTCAGCCAGCTTATGAACCGTTATCCCAAGTTTTCTTCTGCCCTCTCTGAATCTTACGGCACTGAGGTTCGGGCCCTCCAGAAACGCAAGGCCAAGGATTCTTATGAGAAGCTTCTCGAAGGTCTTTTCGGCGCACCCTTGACTATTCTATTCGCGTCGGACAATGGCAATGCCCAAAACCTGGCAAAGCGCCTTGGAAACCGCGGTCGCGCTAGGGGCCTGAAGACTATGGCCATGGCCATGGATGATTACCCCGCTGAGGATCTATCTACTGAGGAAAACGTGGTGTTTATAACCAGCACCGCGGGCCAGGGTGAGTTCCCCGTCAATGGCCGTGGTCTGTGGGAATTCGTAAAAAGCTCTGGAGATCTTGACTTGTCTACTATCAATTACTCTGTTTTTGGTCTTGGTGATAGCCACTACTGGCCACGCAAGGAAGATAAAATTTATTATAACAAGCCTGCCAAGGACCTTGATGCCCGGGTTGCCTTCTTGGGTGGACGTAAGCTCACAGATATAGGACTTGGTGATGATCAAGATCCAGACGCTTACCAGACTGGTTACTCTGAGTGGGAGCCACGTCTCTGGCAATCCTTGGGGGTGGACAAAGTCGAGGGTCTTCCTGAAGAGCCTGCACCTTTGACAAACGAGGACATCAAGATACAGTCTAACTACCTTCGTGGTACCATTGCCGAGGGTCTTCTAGATGAGAGTACCGGTGCTATCTCTGCAAGCGACCAGCAGTTGACCAAGTTCCACGGCACGTATATGCAAGATGACCGTGATGTGCGCGATGAACGCAAAGCTCAAGGCCTTGAGCCTGCCTACAGCTTCATGATCCGTTGCCGGCTTGCTGGTGGAGTTGCTACCCCCACTCAGTGGCTGCAAATGGATGCTATCAGCAGCTCTCATGGTAACGAGACCATGAAGCTCACGACCAGACAGACCTTCCAATTCCACGGCGTCATCAAGCGTAACCTCCGAGGTGCGATGCGTGCTATCAATAAAGCACTTATGACTACTATTGCAGCCTGCGGTGATGTCAACCGTAACGTCATGTGCAGCTCCCTCCCAGAGCTCTCTTTCTACCATCGCGAGGCGCATGCTGTCGCGCAGAAGATTAGCGACCATCTTCTTCCTTCTACTACAGCCTATCATGAGATTTGGCTGAAGGATGATGATGATAAGAAGGTTCAAGTTGCAGGAGATGCCCTTGTCGATAACGAACCCCTCTATGGCCCTACCTACCTTCCCCGTAAGTTCAAGATCACCATTGCTATTCCTCCTCACAACGATACCGATGTGTATGCACACGATATTGGTTTGATCGCCATTAAGGGATCCGACGGACATTTGGAAGGTTTCAACATTCTCGCTGGTGGTGGCATGGGTAGCACTCACAACAACAAGAAGACATATCCTCAGACTGGCCGCATGTTTGGATATGTACCCGCTGATCAGGCCCACATTGTTTGTGAAAAGATTATGTTGGTCCAACGTGATCACGGTGACCGTCAGAACCGCAAGCATGCACGTCTAAAGTACACTATCGACGACATGGGCGTTGAGGTCTTCAAGGAGAAGGTGGAGGCTCTCCTTCCAGACGGCTTACGGTTCGCCGAACCTCGTCCGTTCAAGTTTGCTTCTAATGTTGATACTTTTGGCTGGCTCAAGGATGAGAAGGGCCTCAACCACTTCACTTTCTTCATTGAGAACGGGCGAATTGAGGATACTGCCGACTTCCAGATGCGCACCGGTTTGCGTGAACTGGCGAAGCTTGACAAGGGCGAGTTCCGTCTCACTGGTAATCAGCATTTGATTCTATCCAGCGTCAAGGATGAGGACCTCCCTGCAATCAAGGAATTGATGGCCAAGTACAAGCTCGACAACACCTCTTTCAGTGGTATGCGTCTTTCTTCGTCTGCTTGTGTTGCCTTCCCCACTTGTGGCCTGGCCATGGCCGAGTCTGAGCGTTACCTGCCAGTTCTTATTTCTAAGCTCGAATCTACTCTCGAAGAGGTGGGCCTGGCTAGAGACAGCATTGTCATGCGTATGACAGGTTGCCCCAACGGTTGCGCCAGGCCCTGGCTCGCCGAAGCTGCCTTCGTTGGTAAAGCATACGGTGCCTACAATATGTACCTCGGCGGTGGTTATCACGGACAACGTCTGAACAAGTTATATCGCTCTTCTATCAAGGAGGATGAGATTTTGGACATCATGAAAGGTCTCCTCAAGCGGTACGCACTTGAACGCAATACAGATGGCGAAGAGCCCGAGAGGTTCGGAGACTGGTGTATTCGTGCAGGCGTTATCAAGGAAACTACTGATGGACGCAACTTCCATGAAGGAGTAAGTTAATCCTCGCTATCACACACATTCAGACTTTCCACCTAACGGAATTTAACAGGTTGTTGAAGACGAAGAAGAAGAGTAAAGGATTAAAATCTGAGATGAAAAGAGGGTAAACAACTTTGCATTTTGTTAAGCTTTGCTTTGATTGTTGGTCTTTCAACTACGGCAGTTGCATTGTTTTAGATTCCACCATTTCCATGTGAGCCATGTTTCATTTGGGTAGTGATTTGATTTGCTGCTATCATTCCTTGCTTCTGTGTATGCCTGTATAAGCCTGACATCTAAAAGCATTGGATCAGTCTAGTTCCATTAATCTTCATGTACTGCGGTGGGAGTTTATTGTGTCGGTAACAGCCACTATACGTTATGTGTTACGTTCTAATCGTCATTAAGTCCAATTGGTCTGTAGCTTTAAAGACCTCCTGTATTACTACGCTGAAGCATCCTTTTAAGAAAGAAGAAAAGCGACCCGACCCGAGAAAGACATCATGAACATCTTAAATGTCAGGTGTCGTTCTATATGTCACTATAAGAGAAGGCGGTGTACTCCACTTTTCCCATTCTTATCAGCCACTTCTCCACCGCCCTGATATGGAGAAAAAATTGAGGAAGAGAAGAGCAATCAATTATCCACGATATACTGTTCTCCTGTCCAATTTGACGAATGCTATTGAACTAATGCTACGATCTTAGTCGACCAACCCATCCATTGCCCATAGCCCCATATCCACACCATGGACTCCTCAGACCCCGTCATCGCATCCTACGACGTCTACCTGACAGACTCCGAAATCTCTCGGTACGTCCTCCAATATCTCGACCGACTACCAGACTACCCCTATGATGACCGCCATGGCCAAAGGCCCACTGCCTTCCGTTTAAAACCGAAAACAGGGCTTGTCGAAGTCGACGTCCCCATCAACACCCGCATGAACTATGACGTGAATAAAGGCCTGAAGTACGGCGATGCGCTGAAGAAAAGTCGCAGCTCGCAAGAGGGCGGCGCGTTCGGCATGGCGGGTGGTTTCAGTGGCGGTTCCCTTGCTAGCGGGAATAAGGTGAAAATGGAAGCTGGCGGGGATGTGGAAATGGGCGGCATGGGAAATGGAGACTCGGCTTCCTTATTACGGGTGCAGACGCTGGGAGGTCGCATTAAGATTCCTGAGGAGGGGGACCCAGTTTATATGTTGGCTGCTTTCCGGGGGAGTGAGTTGCTGCGCTGGGTTTCTTTGCTGGTGTTGCGTGCAGATGCTAATAGTGATCATAGATAATCTTCATCTGTCGCCTGTTTCGGCGGTTGTGCAGGTGCATCCTCAGCTTCATCATCTTGATGCGTTAGATGAGATTCCCACCAAGGGTAAGGGAAAGAAGAAGGATGATGATGAGGGTGGTGGAAATGAGGCTCGCGCTATTGATATCAAGGTTAAAGCGGCTGAAGATGACCAGGCGAGTCAGTTGGCTGGTAACTTGGATCTTTTGAAGAAGATGCAGGAGGAGAAATGGGGTAGCTATGATTGGGTCGATGCCGAGGTGAGTATTTGTTACGTGATGTTTTCGTTTCTTATAAGAGGCTCCGCTAATTCAAGATACTCTAAGACTGAGGAGTCATGGCAAGTATATGAAAGCTACATGATGCACCAAGATTTGGAAAATCTACCGCAATTAGAATCGGCGATCGATAGTGAGGACTATCTGGATAAAATGAGTGCGCCGCGTATTGACCCAGCAAACCCAGAGATGACTGGATGGGCTATGAAGCAGAATCGGATGAAGCAGAATGGAAGAGGGAGCTCTTCTAGGAGTACTACTGAAGAATGATTAAATTACTTTACGTGTAAAAAAAAAAAAATAGACTTTACGAATGGCATCATGAGAATATTCCCAAAAGTGCAAGGAGCGTTGTAGGTATGGCTAATTGATTGTAGTATGCGAAAGATGCTATAGATAATATTAACAATATTGCATTGGTTGGTCAGGGACCTGAACTCTATAAAAGCCGGCACAGAACTCTGAACTTATGACAGTCAGGAATGAGTACATAGTTAATACAAGTTTGTGAAAGGTGTGGACGATCGCCACCGCCCAAGTTGACAGGTCTCGAGAGGTACCTAATACCCGTGAATGTGGACGCGATCCTGCAAATGAGAAGCCGAAGAAAAACACGATAATCAAGTCACGTGCACACACGTGCCTTATCTCCCCTTTGAGGATCCGAGTATTTTTCCCCCGATTTCTCCGTCCAGGAACTACGACAGCATTTCGACTTTTTTCGCCTTCATCAGACCTTCACCCCCATTCTTTCTTTGCCCATCTCTTATAAACCGGTGAAGGGCTGCAGGACGGCTTGTCAGCCGATATCTTCCGCTGACAGGAAGTTCATTGTCAATTTATTGAGTTTTCTTTGCGCATATTCGCATACTAATGATTTTGTTCTTGCATATTTTTTGCCTTCCATAATTTTCTTCTCTTCTTTACGTACCTCTACATCGTATTCTTAATTTATCCGGTTGCTTCAGCGAAAATTCTTGAATCATGTTATCCCGAGTTGCTCGTCAGAAAAATGCAGCGTCTCATCTCCGGGTTTCTAATGGGCGTTTGGTGTCGCCATCTTTGGCCACCCTGCGGTTTCACTCCCATCTAGGTCGCCCGAATTCTTATGTCAACGCGTCTGTCAAAGTTTCTCCCAATCGTTCCCGTCAGCCATATCTCCAACCATATCGGCATCTCGCCACGGCAGCAGATCACTCCGCTGTTGAACAGACACCATATCCTTCATTCGAGAACTCCTCATACACAGCCGGTCACCGGTATGACCAACCGGCACAAATGACTTCCCTTTTCCCACCCATCTCTAAGGGGTTCAACGCTTCATCCTTAATCATCATAGACGACCTTCTACAGACCAGACCGAGAGCTCTCAAAAAGCACAAGGGTATTGGTGGTGACGAAGATGAGATGATGGCAAACCTGGATATCTCCCTGAAAGTTGGTCGAATGGATCGGGCTGCCAATCTGATAACCCGTCTTGGGGAGTACTTTCCAATCGGTTCGCCTGAGTATCTGGCCATCCATAACCGTTATCTGGAGGAGATGGTGTCACACATGGTTGTAACAAGGCAGCACAACTTGGTCTTGCCCTTGCAAAGATGGTTCGAAGTTGACATGGCTCACGGGGGTGTTCAGCCAGATGCACGAACATATGCGATCATGATTCGGATGGCACTACGCATGTTACATGGTGCTAAGCGAGACAGAGCAGTTCGCAGGTATTGGAGTTTCGCAAAGACCGCGGGAGTTGAAGAGGAGGTTTTGGCTGTTCCAGTTCTTTCGGAATTAGAGCTAGGCGAATTGTCAGAGGTTTGTCTATCCCATTCTTGCCTTCATTTCAACATTATGAGGTATGCGGGAAAGAAGAAATTGGTGCTGACACACATCCTTTCACTAGATCTGTTCGTCTGACCTTCGACGTGTTGCGATCGGCAGCATGCACTCAGATATTACCAATACAAATTCCGAGTCGATCACAGATGAGATACCGGCTGTTCGGCCTGTTGATCAGAAAGGCCTCGGTCTCTCGTCTTTGCAGGATTCTCTCTCAATGTTCTCCACTGGCTCTGATGTCGCTTTTCCAACCGACACCAAGTATACGGAAGAGGAAAAGTTGGAGCTATACAATCAACTCAGACAGCGACAGTTAGAGACGGATTCGATAAGGACTTCGCTTGAACGATGGCGGCAAGAGTTTACTCAGATGCAAAAGTCAGGGCTGGATATGACTGGCGGTGGAAAAAAGCTAGGTACCATTATGAATCAGTGGCACATGGGACTTGTATCAAGGATCCAAGAAGAACTCAAGCTTGTTGATGAAGCGGAGGCCAATCCAATTAGAACTTTCGAGCAGAAAGAGCGTTATGACTACGGAGTATATCTGCGGAGTCTGGACCCGGAAAGGTTGGCAGCACTAACGATTCTCGCCGTTATATCAACCTTCTCTCGTGGAGGAATGGAAAGGGGCATCAAGGTCTCTGCAATTGCCACTGGTATTGGGAAAGACCTTCAAGATGAACTGATAGCTGAGATTACCCTTAAAAAGCAGCAGTCGGGAAATGATGCCCGTCGCATGAAGGCACTGAGGGAAATTCTTGCTGGTCGCAAACAGAAGGATGGGCGAGCACCCTGGCAGAAGATTGTACACGACTTGGAAAAGGAGGACCCGGCAGCTATCTGGCCCCCTAGGGTGAAAGCTAAAATCGGTGCTGTCTTGATGAGTTTCCTTTTCGATGTAGGAAAGGTTCCTGTTGCAGCGGAGCATCCAGGTACAAAGAAGAAAACAACCACATTGCAACCCGCATTTCAGCACTCCTACCAAATCAACTGGGGGAGGAAGTCGGGATACGTTCATTTACACCCAGAGATTGTTCAGATCGTTGCTCGGGAGCCTACCGCGGATGTGCTAGGTCGTCAGTTGCCCATGATTTGTAAACCAAGGCCGTGGAACGGTCCTAAAGATGGTGGTTATTTCATCTATCAGAGCAACATTGTACGCGCAACACCGGGCGAGACTCTACAACCGTCTTACATCAAAGCAGCGATGGAGAACAATGGTTTGGAACAGGTCCGCGAGGGTTTGAATATACTTGGAAGAACTGGGTGGAGGATCAATCGAGATGTATTCGAGGTCATGCTTGAGGCATGGAACTCAGGAGAAGCCGTTGCCAGCCTTGCGCCCTTAAACCCTGACCTTCCTCACCCACCTAAGCCAGCTCCCGAAGAAGGTTTCGCGGCCGAGAAGAAGTGGGATAACGCTATGCGTGAGATCGAAAATCGACGATCCGGCATGCATTCTAACCGATGCTTTCAAAATTTCCAACTGGAAGTTGCCCGTGCGTACAGAAATGATACTTTCTATCTTCCTCATAACATGGATTTCCGTGGTCGTGCTTACCCGCTTCCACCCTATCTTAACCAAATGGGTGCGGACAATGCTAGAGGACTCCTCCTTTTCAGCGAAGCTAAGCCGTTGGGCGCTCGTGGCCTAACATGGCTGAAGATTCAGATTGCTAACTTGTCTGGCTTTGACAAGGCTAGCCTCTCGGAACGTGAACAATGGACAATGGATCACTTGGACGATGTTCTTGATTCTGCAAACAAAGGTTTACACGGCAGACGGTGGTGGCTTGACGCAGAGGATCCATGGCAATGCTTGGCCGCCTGCTGTGAGCTGAGAAACGCTCTCCAGCACCCGGATCCTACTCAATATCCCTCGCGACTACCCATCCATCAAGACGGCTCGTGCAATGGATTGCAACACTACGCAGCACTTGGTGGTGATAAGGTGGGCGCTCAGCAAGTGAACTTGGAGCCGTCCGACCGCCCGTCCGATGTATATTCTGGTGTCGCCCAATTTGTTAAGGAGGCTGTCGCACGTGAAGCCAAAGAGGGCACCCCAATTGCGAAGTTGCTGGACGGGAAGATCACCCGTAAGATTGTCAAGCAGACTGTCATGACGAACGTCTATGGTGTCACCTTTATGGGAGCTATGAAGCAAGTGCGCAAACAGCTTGTTGACCATTACCCGGAGCTTTCGGCCGATGAAACGAAGAGTGGTTCGTTGTACATTGCTCGGAAGATTTTCGAGGCTCTAGGCACAATGTTCAATGGAGCTCATGAAATCCAATACTGGCTTGGAGACTGCGCAAGTCGAATCACGCAATCTCTCGCTCCTGAACAGATCGAGGAAATTGCAAAAGAAGCTTTGAGCCCTACACAATCGGCCGAAGGGTCGACAAAGAAAGCCGGCGACCCAGCTCAGAAGTTCAGATCCACTGTGATCTGGACCACTCCTTTAGGTTTACCTGTTGTCCAGCCTTACCGTGTTCGAAAGTCTCGACGCGTTCGTACTACTATACAGGATTTGAGCATTGTAGACATGGGCTCTGACGATGTTGTTTCTAAGCGCAAGCAACTCCAGGCTTTCCCGCCTAATTTTATTCACTCTCTCGACGCTACCCACATGATGCTATCAGCTATTGCCTGCGACCGGGCTGGTCTTAGCTTTTCGGCGGTCCATGACTCCTTCTGGACCCATGCCTGCGATGTCGATTCTATGAACAATATTCTCCGTGAGGCTTTCGTTCGCATGCACTCAGACGATGTTGTGAAGAGGCTCGCGGCGGAGTTTGAAGTCCGTTACGGCAAAAATCTGTTCCTCGCGAAAGTCAATATCTCGAGTAAGATTGGAAAGGCTATCCGAGCTCACCGCAGACATGCAAACAACAAATCGGCTAAAGTGCAGGAACTCCTAGAGGAGTACAAGAGACAAAAGCTTTTGCAATCGGACGATCCAGAATTGCAAGCCCAGGGACGCGCAATGGTCACCCCCGCCAGTATCTTTGAACAGGCTGGTGGTGCCGATAAGGATCTTTCTATTTCGAGCTCGCTCGGTGAGACCGTTGTCGGACATGTCCCTGAGAATCTGGAAGCAGCAGAGCGGAAAACTTCGGGCATGGAAACGGATACATCGGACCCAGTAATTGAGAGTCTGATGACCGATTTTGACGATGTTCTTGGCCCCAAGGCGAACTTGGAAGATGCCGCCGCTGAAGCCGATCTAGATGAGATTGACGAGCCGAAGAAGAAAAGGCGCGGTGCTATCCACACTTGGCTCTGGCTGCCATTGCGCTTCCGCGAGGTACCTCAGAAAGGAGAGTGGGACATCACTCGCATCCGAGACAGTGAATATTTCTTCTCCTGAAGATTCAACCGTTGGTTGGCTGAGCGGGCCCTCCTTGGGCGGGCGTTTGAACGCATTGGGTTGG